GTCTCCCCGGATGGGGGTGATTCGGCCGGTCTACAGCTGGGACAAGCCACCTGGGTGCGACCGGCCATGCCTCTCTCATTAGCTCCAGAGCTGCTTTCTTTGCATTTCTGGCCCACGCTGCAGACGGCATCCCACCGGCTCTGCCACCTGCACGTGCTGTCAGAGACAGGCAGCCGGTGCCAGCCTAGTGCCAAGGAGAATCGGGCGCCAGCAGGTGCTCCAGCCTGGAGCCAGGCGCCGCTCCGACCCCGGCTGCAAGAAGTGGAGGGAAGATCCGGGGAAGACCCTGGCCGCTCGCTTTTTAAGGTAACATCTGCTGCATGCTAATCTGCCTGTCGGCACTTCGTCCGTCCTCTCCTAGGCCCCTTTACCCTCGTGACGGAGCACAAGGGAGGGTGAGATACAAGTAGGGGCATTATGTGGTGGCAGGAAGGCAGGGACCGGTGCCCCTCTGCACCGTGTCAGCGCCAGGCAGGCTGCATGCTCTCCGTGCCGTGCGGCGATGCGAGGTGACAGATTAGGGTCCCCTGCCAAAGCCGGCGGGGAGCACTCGCTTTCCAAGCAGCTGAGCGCGACAAACCGGCTTGCCAGGCTACCGGCCGGGACCTGGGCCCAGTCATTTTAGCTCCTGGAAAGCAACCTGCCCACAGCCAACAGGAGAGATCACAGCCATCCCCAGCCACGCAGCAGCACGCCCGGGGAAGGGGAGATGCCCTGGAGAGGCTAAATCCCTGGGCACGTTCAATCCTTCTGACCCGCGAATGCACAGTTCCACCCCAGAAGTGGCTGCATCTTAGCAGCAGGTATGAAGGTCCCCGTACCTACAGCCTGGGGTCCATCGATTGTACCAAAATGTACAATATGACTAGCGTCACCAATGCCCGCACGAGCCCACCCGTCTCCGTTGTCCCATGCAGCCACAGACCAGGCTATCTTTAAAACCACTGGGAAGTAAACCTTCATCTAGGAACAGAAAAACTAACCCAGAAAGGTTTCCCTGGCACTAACTTCGTCCATCTTTCCCAGCCCATCCTTGTACAGCGCCCCGAGGGCCAGACCTCCCGCAGGGAAGGGAAACTGGGTGAAGGGACAGCGGGAAGGAGAAGCCAGGCATCCAGATCACTTCGCTTAATGGGAGCCAGAGATTCCCTGCCTGGCCATGAAGAAACCCAGCTCTCGCGCCCGCTGTGCCTCAGTTTTCCCATCTGTAAAATGGGCCCGGCATAAGACAGAAGCGAGGGGGTCTTTGTCACTGCAGAGTATTGCGATGGATGCCATTCCCTGCTCTGTTGGGGAGATTTCCCAGATACTCGTCCCCTTCCAGGCCCAGCAAGACGGGTCCTCAGGCCCAGAGCCTGAGGGAGGGGAGAGCCCACAACCAAGGACACTTGGTGCAGCAATTCAGCTGTACCATCCACCACACCACACAGGGATCTCTGCCTCCCTCCCTCAGCTCGGCGAGGTCCAAATCCCATGCCAGCCCTGCATGGATGACCACCCCCCCTTGCCTTTACCCCAGGGCCGGCTGAAAGGCCCTGGCTAATTGCCGGCTCTCGACGCCTGCCAGAGCCGCGCGGCACAAAGGAGCCCCGAGGCGACGCCGATCCCTGGCCTGCCGCCGGATGGATTTCGGGGGTCGCCAGCATCCTGGCCCCCGCTTCCCACTGGGCCCAACCCCCGCCCCCGTGTGCCGCGGCAGCAATTAGCCCACAGCCGCCCAGACATCACTGGGGCCGCTGCGTCGCACGGCGCTCCCTCCTTTTATATCTCCCCTCTTCCCTCCCTCTCTCCTTCCTTTCTTCCCCTTGTCAAATAATCACAGGGAAACTAGCAAGTGGTTGACACTGTTGCCATGGTGACTGAATTTAGGACTGCGGAGGGGAGGAAGGGGGGGGCGTCTGCAACTAATCCTCTGAGAACGATGTTAGCAAGTGGGAGAGTCTTAGCACCTCGGGGTTGCAGCCTGGGGTGTTTACAGGGCAGCTGGGGGGCAGCCAGGCCCGGCCCCGAGCTTCTCGACTCCGGCCCCCCACGTTGCACGGGCCAGAAAATCTCCCCCCCCCCCGGTACCCTGCGTTTGCAAGATGCTTCAGTGCAATTCCTGGGAGAGGGGCACCAACGGCCTGGTGCGGTGCCGAGGGCAGGCAGGAGGAGACGGTGCAGGGGGGCCGGACCGATGATCTGCAAGGTCCCTCGCAGCCCTTAACAACTCCAAAACGACGACACCTGGGTGCCTGGCATCTCCCCCGGGCCTTTCTCTGCACACGCCTTTGTGAGACAAATCCCCCCATGGCACCCAGCATCCCGGGGGCCGCTGGTGACCACAGGGCTCTCGCGCCCCGGGCACTGACTGTGCTCTGCTGTCCCTGAGTCACACCCGGCATTGGGGGTGACAGGCTAGGGAAGTCCCCTCCGCTGCCCTCCCTTGGGAGGCCGCTCGTTGCACGCTCGCAGCGAGCCAGCGGCCGGCACAAGCTGACCGAGAGAGGGCAACAGGTGTCATTTTTAATGCAGCTCAAGTGCCTCTTTAGCGTGGACGCGGCGAGCGCGGTCACCTGCCCCTGCAGGAATCAGAGGCCTGCACCGAGGCCGCGGAGAGCCGGCGAGGACATACCCCCTGCTCCTCGTGCCACTTGGCAGGAGGCAGGAGGTGAGCGCCCAATCCTGCTCCCTCTGAGCCAGGTCGGGGCTCTACACGGTGCTTTCCAAGGTCTCAGACCGGAGGTAACCCCCACATCGGCAGCATCTTCCGCCCACCTCGGCTCCCAGCCTGAGCAGGCGGCTCCAGAGGGCCGTGCACGCCCTCCCCGAGTGCTGGAGAACCCAGCCCACACACTTCCCCTGGGGGGAAAGGCTGCACCTTCGCCAGCACAGCCGGTGACTCACGCCAAACGCGGCGCAACCCGCAGCAGCAGGGCAGCACCGCTGACAACCCTCGGCCGTGCTGATCCGCCGGCTGAATATTGCCGTCCCAAGCCTAAAATAGGCGCTGTTTTGAAAGGGCCTGAATCAGCAAACTCCCCGTGTTTGCCGCGGTGCGCCGGAGCTGCAACCGCTTTCGCAGGGGCGGAGCGTGGGACGAGAGCAAGGCTAAGGGAGCTCCGCGTGGGATGGCAGGACAGCCCAGCTGCCCGGGGTCCGGCATCCAGCCTGGACGGGGAATGGGCTCCAGCCCAAACCCGCTGCAAGCCCGGGAGCTGTGCAGCAGCCAAAGCCCTGCAAGCAGCAGGCCAAGCCGGCGGCTTTGCAAGCCCATCTCCAAAAGGTCCATCGGAGGGGATCCCAAGGCTGCTAAACCCCCCGACCTTGCCCCTGCACCCGGTCTGGCCTGGCTCATGTGTCCTTCAGGTTGACTTCCCCCCACTCTCCCAGCATGTCTACCCCCCCAAGACCTCCATCCCCCTCCGGCACAGCCCCCCACCCAGACCTCAGGGCCACACAGGCCTGAGACCACCCCTGGGGCTGCACCCCTTGTCAAATCCACCCACCCCGGGCTTGCCCGTTTCCCAAAGGCACGCAGCAGCCAGCCCTGTGGGCTCCCCTGCGGGAAACAGGCTTCCTCTCCACGGTGCCAGCTTTGCCCAGAGACAAAGCAGCATGGTGTGTACAGCGGGTCCAGCCCTGACTCGGGGCCTCCCAGGCCCCACGCTGCAAGGAAGCTGATGCCAGCGGGGAAGGGAGCTCCGCGCTTTCAATTCCCCGCTGCTTCCCTCCTTGGCTTGAAAGGAAGCCAGGATCCTTTGAAAGCAGGCTGCCGGCGGAGTCGGGGCCCGCTGAGAAGCGCAAGGCCACTGGATGGCAATTTCCCTTCCTCGGAGCCTCGCGGGATAGACCGGCCCGGGAAGTCAAGTGCAGGCTGCATCGTGCTGCTGGGGGTCAGAGTAGCATCCCTCGCCAGGGGCGGGGGGAACTGCCAGCCCACCGAGGCTAAGAAACACTCAGGAACCGGGCGCCCAAAGAGACCTGCATGGTCCAGACCCACTCGAGCAGCCTGGGCCTGGGGGAGAAGAGCGGAGAGGTCAGGGCTGGTTTGGCTCTCAGGTCCTCGAAGCAGCTCAAGGACATGTGACTCCACCCCGCGTGGCCTGGGCAAGCACCTGCCTTCAAAGGCCCCTAGCCAAGGCATGGTGGAGGGAGCCGTCTCCCACTCATTTCCTGCAGCCTCTCGCCCCACAGCTGCGAGCCCAGCTGCATCCCGGGTTCCCCAGCGCCGTGCCACACGCCAGGGCGGGAGAGTGGGTGAGCCCGTATGAGGGCGATGTGGACGGGGACTGGGGTTAGAGGTGTCACCCGCTATCATGCAGGCCCACCTGGCAGCACGGTGCTACAACAGTGCAAGGCGCTGGCATTGCTTCCTGCATTGCAGCCACCCCCTGCCCGCCGGCCCCCGAGAGAGGCGGCTGTCCTCAGGGGACCCCCCAAGAGATGCTCGTGAAGGGACCACTGAGCCAGCTCCAGCATTTGAACTCAGCTCTTCCGCGGGGTGACGCCTCGCAGGCTCCTCTCCTCGCCCCTGCCCACCTGGAGGCACAGCTCCCTGCTCCTGACCCCCCGCGGGCCCCGTCCAGGCAGGACGGGGCCTGGTCCAGCCGGAGGCAGAGCCGGTTGCAGGGCCCAGCTGGGCTTGTGCGGCTGAGTCATCACCAGGATCATAAAATCACTCTGTTAAACCCTTGAAAGCTGAGCGGGGAAGGTTAAAATTTACATCTGCTTTGACCCTACCTGTGTGATTAGCATTTCCTAATGTCTCTGGTCGCTGGGAATGGCTGTGTGCAATGATTTCTCTGTTTGACAGCGCCTTGAATAGTCCACACATAATTTTCCTTAATTGCTTTAAATCTCACAGGCTGACACTTCAATGCACCTCTCTCTCTCTCTCCCTCCCCTCCCTCTTTTTTTTTTTTCCCTTCCTGATGTTGGTTGGAAATAAAATAGACCACCTGATGGATACCCAGAGAAGGCAGAAACACAGCGTATGGGAAAAAGGTGGGGGTGGGGGGGATATATTAGATCCTTTGGAATATCACTTCAGTGGCAATAGATCAAACCTCTCTGTCATTTCCTGGAACAGCTTCTCTACCCCATCTGCAGTACATCTACGGAGAGATGAAACGCCGGTTGGTTTTACAGGGTGCTGGAATTAGTGAATTAGCAATTACAGTAAAACAGAGAGAAGTTTCACGCAACAGGAGACGCCGTAAGTAAATACTGCTTGATTGGAGCAAGCTAAAGAAAAAGAAAGCTCTCCCCGCATCTGTCGAGAGACTTTCTTTGGCACCCCTGCCTGAATTTGCAGAACCAAAAAAAATAAAAAAATAAAAAAACCAAAAAAAAAAAAA